ATCTTATCAATTTACTTAAACTGCAATTTTCAAACAGGTGGCAACTCTTTCTTTTTTCTTTCTATATTTTATTTAGCAATATATCGGTGAAAGCTGTCTTCAATTCCGCAAGCGCGTAAAAACATAAAGAAAGACAGACAAAAAACTCGAATATTGCTAATTTGGCTTCTGTTCCTCTAATAATGACCCCCCATATTAATTTTTATTTAATAACTGCAAACATCGCCCTGTTACAATTTTGTTATATGTATAAAAGATGTTGTTGTATGTTTTATTGAGACGATGAGAATAACCGATAACCGAATAGGCCAGATCTTTCAGTGTGCCGAAAGTAAAATATTCGCCAAAAAGATAGTACCGTAGTGAAAAGCGTCGGGATGGGCGAGTTCAGAATTGAATGTTTAGTCCCACGCCCATCTCTAGTCAATATCAATATATAATTTTTGCCATTGCAGACCTTAATACCACAGCTTTTAGAAGACAAGAGCGAATTGGGATTGCAGCTATTTTTTTAAGAAATTTTTGTTTGTGGATGAATTGAATTGATTGTAGAATTGGGATTGCAGCTATTTTTTCAAGAAATTTTTGTTTGTAGATGAGAGAAAAAGAATGTTCGAAAATGAGAAGCCTCTAAATCTTAGTGCGTTATTTTAGTACATATTTAGTTAGGGGCATGGGGCCAGTCTGCACATACTTAGAAGGCTGCCAAGTGCAGCTTAACTGTCACTACGAACACTGTAAATCCTGCTTTTGCACCTATATAAACATACAGTGACTCACACAAGTGTTCACGTGTTGGTTTTTAAATATTCACAACGTTTGACAAGCCACAAATTTTTATTATATTTCTATAAAAATATTGTCCAAGCGTTAGCCAAAACCATATAAATCAGAGTTTCAAACTTTAGGCAAAAATTTTCATCAAAATTTCGAACTTTAAATCTGAATCTTTACAATATGAAATAAAAACGCGAGACCGCTCGCAACAAAATTTCGAAAAAATAACGCCCGTTTTTGTAAATTATAGTTGTTCTATAAAACCAACCGAAAAGGTAGTCACGAAAAAAAATACTAAAAATCAACCCGGTTTTTACCCGCTGGAAACTTGCACTTCATGAGATTAAAATTGTGTAGGCTACAATGCTGCATACACAAAAAAGTTGTAAAGTTTTGATTAATATCCCGTGCTTGGAGAATATTTTAATAGAAATTTGAGAAAAAAAATTTACTTTTAAAACGTTGTGAATCTTTAAAAAATCAACACGTGAACACTGATATGAGTTACTTTATATGATTACTTTCACACAATTTTCATATTATTAAAATTATTTTATTATTCAGGCTATGTGGTCAGGTTTAATAGAAATTTTACTGCCCGGCTTCAATTTATGAAAACTGCCCAACAGTTCAGTTTTATGTCTTTGCTTTGTCGTCATATATTTAAACATGCTGATAACGAAATTAAAAATAATATATATATAAAAGCCGTTCGTTTTTATTGTCCATTACATTTGACTCCTTCTTTCCTCCAACACCAATTGCGTAATTATATCCACTGCCTAGGCCTTAATTTAGTAATTTTTAAAATACCTACTTGGCTTTCATTGCCATCGAATACCGCAAACTCTCCAATATATTGCTTATTATTTCTTATTTGAACAACGTTCAACAAAAAGTTTTTGAAGTGAAACTTCTTTAGCGGCGAATGCTGGGTTCGGAGTAAATTGGCAGGAAATTGCACACGGAAATGGTGCAACGGAAAGTTCACACAAAAATGGTGCAACGGAAATGGTTGGCGCTGTAACAAGTGCTTCATGAATGTGTGCACATGGTGATAATTTAGCAAAAACTTGCTAATGAAAGGTAAAAGAATAACACTTAGAAAAAGACCAATACAATAATGAAAGAGGACGTACATAGGTAAAGAAAAGGATAAAGGCAAATGTAAAAATAAAAACAAAAACAAAGTTGAGTAAGGATAAAGGCAAAATTGAAGATCAAAGTAAATTTAAACTCTTTACTTTGATAAGGGTGTACATGAAGAAAATGATTAACATAAAAGTAAAAACAAAGATAAATGTAAAGAAAAATAGGAGGATGAGGATACCGATAAAGGTAAAGATGAAGATAGAGGAAGAAAGATTAAAATAAAGTTAATTATAGAGAATGGATATAGATAGAGACACAGAGACTCAATCGAGAACTATTTCAGGATTTTAGAGATTTTCGGTATTCTCGGAACTTATCGATATTATTATCGAAATTTTTTTAGATTCTGTTATCGATATTTCTGTTATCGAATTTGTTATCGATGTTTGTCGAATTTGTTATGTTTATGGATTTTGCTATCGATATGTATTGACTTTGTTATCGAGATGTAATGATTTTGTTATCGATTTTTTTATCGGCATTTTAATCGATTTTGTTATCAATATTTTAATCGTCTTTGTTACCAATATTATTATCGATTTCGCTATCGATATTCCTAGCGAACTTGTTATCGACTTTGTTACCGATATTTTTGTAGCCGTTGTTACCGACATTTTGATGGATATTACTATCGATTTTGTTATCGATAGAGTATAAAGATTAAAATGAAGATAAAGGAAGACAGACGAATATAAAAGGTAATTAGAACAAACAGGGTTAGAGGTATGTAGGGATCTAGATAGAAAAAGGGATCTAGAAAGAAATTTCATAATACAACAATACACAGTATACACAGTATACAACACCTTGTATACATCCTTATTGTATATAAAATTGTATTATTTTACTTTATTTATTTTGATTTGTGGCGACTCAGTCACTCCTTAACTATGCTTTCACGATTTCATAACGTCTGCTTAACAACTCTGATTGCTACACGCTTGTGCACCCACATTTGTCACGCTTACTAAGAAACAATTTTTGTTTCTCGTTTGCATACATCGTTTAGTAAATTTCGGATAAAAGTTCTTTACTCAGTTCTGCTCTTTTTGTTCGCAGCTGGACTTTGCTATTGTTTGATTTTTCTGTGTTAGCTAGCACTATGTTGCTGGTTTATGTTTTTTTTTTGAATTCTCTTTTTTGGTATATTTTCTTTTTGTCTGTGCAGCTTTTGGTGTGAATTTGGCAAAACTTTTTGAGTTATATGTATTATAGTTACTTCCTGCACACACACACACGCAAATTAGCATTATTATCTTAATACTTTATCGAAGTTTTCTACTCACTGATTTAATGCAGATTTTTCTTTGATTTGGTATTGGATGTGACCATACCTAAATTTATGACTGTGATGACAGAAAATATACCAGGTAAACTTTTTTCAAGATGGAAACTAAGCGAAAGTTATACATATATATAATTTGGTTGGAGTCTTGGCCGAAAGTGCTCATGCTGTATAGGGAGTGCTGATAAATTTCACTCGAGAATTTAGAGATAGAATTATACTTACCATACATACGGGCATAACAAAATGAAATCCAAGTTCGTTTTAATGAAGGTAGATCCACAGCAGCCTTCACGTGGCTTGTGGAGATCAAATGAATCATGACATCAGGCCAAATCATGCGCCGATTGGTTGCGGAGCTTAACACTCAAACTATGATTCGATAAGTTAACCAATGGATTAATAATCGGTTGAATAGCTGGCTATTATCAGAGCTTACTTAGTAAATTTCGGACACTTCCCTCATATAGCAGATGCCATGTCATTAGCGATTTCATTACGATTTCTTTCTTCTACGCACTTAATATAAGTACTAGGTTAGCGCATTGTTTTCTATTTCCACGGTGTACTCCCAAAAACCTTTATTTAAGATCGGAAATATGTTCATGTTAAAACTTTCTTTCTTTCTACAGAGATACCTTAGGTGAAGGACGCTGGGAGCGTTCCAATGTGTCCATGGTCAGATGGTACCCCAGTTTCTCCAAAATTTATACTGCTATCAGCGACGGACTCGACAAAGGTTGAACATGGTTCAAACTAGTGGGGCAACGAAGTCTTCCTTTGGTATTCCGAACGCGAGTTTTAAGATGCAAGTTATCACTACAAGGTATCTTTAGAAGACAGCAGGAAAATTGTATCCCAGTTTTTCCTAAGAAAATTGCTCACATTCCTTCGACATTCGCCTCTACACCCGTGGGGGCTTTATAGAAATAAGACAGGACAGGCGATATCTTCTGATGTCGACAAGGTGCCTGTGCAGGATAAAAAGAAGTCAAGTAAAAGAAGGCAGAAGGTCCTTTTGAGAGTTGGTATGCATCCACTAATACTCAAGCTATGGTTGACTTGGCCAATAATGAGCTCACATGAACGGGAACTGGTCTCCGTAAATACATAAAGTATTGGCAAAGGAGGGTATGTTTACTTTAATTTTAGATTAGGTTAAATTGGCTGATTGGTCCAATATAGGAGGGGTACAATGTAGGATAAAGGTGGGCCCAACTTTCCATCAATTGAGGGCACGTCCGCGACACCATTCGTGCCTCTATAAATAGAACCAGTTGGTTACGTTAAATAAGCTCGAGAATCCATGAATGCCTTCTACGCTTAGGTCAGAAAGACAAACAAAGAGATGATGATGATGCGAACGTCTTCTTGCCCGCCATAAGGCTAGGCAGTGACAGACAGTCCATACTCTAAATTTCTTCCTTGTCGCGGCAGTTTCGGTTTCATTTCCTAGCATGCCTTGCCATCAAGCGGTGATCCGTGCGTCGGATCTTTTCTTGTTTATATTTTACGTCTGCGTTTATGTTTATAGCTACGTTCAAATGTTCATTTGCGTTTCGTCTTTATTTCTGATTTTAACACTTTTAATGCACCGAAAATGTATTGATCGTCGAAGTATTTATTTTCCAAATCATTATTGAAATTATCGACCAAACTACTTAGAGAACTAATTTTAAAAATATAACAACATGAGGTTTTTCTGGAATTGTAATTGCAAATTTACATATGTATGTACATACGTATTACGATTAATAAATTAATTTAGACAATAGTACTAGTTTCAATTTGCTACTAAAAAAATACTCTTATACTCCCTATTAAATTACTAAGTGTGCGCGCTGCACTTAACCTACCATATTAACCTACTATACTAACAACTCTGTAATCCCGTTCAAATGAGCGGGCAATTCTGGCACCTTCTTTACGAGTTCGGACACCCGACATGCATATAAATAGCCATACTCTAAAAGCTGTTCATTCCTTATCCAACTCAACCAAGGCACCTGCTCACTTACATCATCGCACAGTAAATACTTAAGTATTTCATCTAAAGTTGCATGTATATTATTAACTCCTAAAATAGCTATGCCCACGTTGCTTCCAACCGAACAGATGCGGTAGAACTGCTGCGGCACTGCAATCACGTCATTATTATTCTCATCCTGCGCCAGGAAAAATGGCACGCTCATATTATCACTTGCGCGCGTAAAGTGCATTGTGCCGTATGTGCCACTGAAGCAAGTGGCAGTTCGCTGATTCTCAGCTAAATATTTACGCATTTTGTCCTCCATCTTTGCCCAACTGACGCCATTGAATGGCTGCCACTGGGCCGCCACGTTGAAGAAATTGAATGTGGTTTGCTGCTCCGTCGCATAGATTTTATCCGCTTTCGCAGTCAGATGACCGCGTGACAAATACTTTAATTTCGAATCGAAATATGTCATTGCTATTTCCGTGCTGCCGAATACTTTTGCAGCTTGTGCGTGTTGATTTTTTTGCGAGTACAAGTAATTCATATCGATTTTAAAGTAACCAACCTTCGAGAATCTCGAACGCTTGACACCGGTTTGAAAGCGCGCGTTGGCAGAATCAAGAACGAATTCTGTGTAATGTGTACGTATTTGTGCAAGATCGTAACACGCGAGCAGGGTTTGAACAAAGCGTCCATCGGTCAAATTGTAACCGATGCGATATGTTTCGGCAGTATTATTTGCACAGCCCTGTGTTGTCCGCTCAACGGTATATTTCACCTTCTGCGCGCAAACAAAGTGGCGAAACTCATATTGGCCATCGTTCAGCAGGAAAGTGGTGCCGCGCAAGCAGCGTGGGCAGATGGTGCGTATATGCGGTTCTAAGTTTAAGCTTTGTGTGCCATTCTCAACGGTCACGTTGGCAAAAGGGCCGGTGCATACGAGCTCAATACAACGACCGTGTGGCACTTGAAGGTAACCTTCGGTGTTTGGATGCCAGTACTCGGATGACTTTGGTTTCAGATACAGCGGTTGGGATTGGTTGGACATGGGCAAGTCCCGTCGAATATCAATAGAGCATGGTAAAGCTGAAAGTAAATAGAAATGGAAGTTTTACTACTTTGATACTTGATACATAGGCATGAATTAAATCTATATAACAATCACTAGACCAGTATTGCTCTACGATAAACGGACCACGATAAATTGCGTGGTCTAATCGGTAAATTTTACTACTATCTATGTTCATCCGGCACGACGGGTTGATACCTACATACATTTTCTTTACGTACGGATCTAATATGAATGAATGAGTGGGGACTGCTGAAATTTTATAGAAATAGTTTCTAGCAGTTTCAGAAAATGATTTTTTAACAGAGTTCTCAAAATTGATCAATACTTATCGTTAACTATATCGATATTGATCGTTATAATTAAATTGGTCTCAAAATTTTCTACACATAATCCAAGAAATTGGTATGGAATCGGTATATGTATCTTAAAAGAATAAAATTTATTAAATTATCGATATCACATATTACGCATTTGTTGGAAAAATTAAATTTTCCCACAAAAAATGGAATACAATGCAAGTACTACTTTCATAAAACGGTTGTTTTGATTAAAAAAAGCATAAAAATAATTTGTTGTAGTTTTAGAAAAGTTGTATTTGTTATTAAATTGTCTTAAAAGTTGTCTGCACATAATCTAAAAAGTCGGTAAATGTATTTAAAAATAATTTGATCGATGCCAGTACCGATTCATTTATTAATATTTTTTTTTTTTTTTAGAAATATCGATATATTTCCGATTCTAATTTTTTTTAGTAGAACTATTATTATTTCAAATATGTTATAACACGTATTTGTTGGAAAAACATATACATGAAATTTTAAAAGGTTTAGTCAGTAATTATTTCTTGAATAAAAATCATTGGCTGAAGCTATAAAAATCGACTAAAACTGGAAAGCTACCATAACCTTGACTGAGCCGTCAAAATTTGTGCATATAAAATATTTTTCGAGAAAATTAAGTGAAAAACGCCTAAGAGTTAAAAAAACTATTTGACACCGGCATGCAGGCATTTATGCATGCTTAACAAAGAAAAAGTTGGTTTATAGTATGTACATAGCTCTCTCTTTGGTCTCGGCCCAAACCGATACACAGTAATAGTGCCAAATAAGACGAAGATATGTAGCTCTCTCCCAGCAAACAAGTGATATATTTTTATATATGGTTTATGGGTTTTGAGCTTTTGAATCGCGAATCAACTCTTAAGCTTTAACCTTTGATTCGAAGAAATATTACCGTAAAAATGAATTTAAAATTTATGTGATATTTACAACTGTGCAAAATTAACAGTGCAGCTGTGTACATAGTTGTATGCACATCGAATTTCACATACTTTATTTTTGGCATTGCGGCAACGAAAACCGAAGCTGCACAAATAAACAAACCAGCTTTAACATTCATGCATTTAAACTTACTCACCCATGTATGTGAGTACTAACAACAAACATATTAAACACATCTTGACGATTTGATAAGCACTCTACTTTATTACATACATACATACTTCATTGACTTACCATTCTCTGCCTCTTGGCCAGTAGCGCAGGTGAAAACGTTAAACAGCATGAAATTATTCAAAATAAAACTTGTTAAATGTTTTGATGATGTTGCTTTCATTGTTTTAGTTGCCGACGAAATGTTTAATGGTTTGAGCGCGTACGTTTTAACCATAATATTTGGCTCTTCTTTTGTCTATAACCTTCAGCCGACTAATTGTGAGTTGAATGCGGCTGGTGTTTAGCACTTCTATACGCGATCGCAAAGTGTACTCAGTGAGATCGTAGAGAGAACATTGGGAGAGACGATGAATGTACATATGTACATATGTATGTAGTTACGTATGGTAAAGTGGCAAAAGCGCTGTAGATTCCCTATAGGGAAATTCAAAAGTAACAAGCTGGTGTGGCGTTGGTGACTTAGAAACAGTGACCTGTAAGCAACCTTTCTCGATGGCTGTGAACTAATAGTAAATATGATTCACATCACAGGATTCAGGCTAACCGCGCTAAAGGTGGGGCAAACTGCTTCGAAATGATCAAAAGCGCACCACTCCTCAATCAGCAATTGTATTTATGCGCTGCAATTTTTCCTGTTGGGTTACTAAGCAGTCATTTTATTTTTTAATTTTGTGATTTTCCATGCTGATTCACTTGGTTTATTCAAAACAGCAAGGCCTAAAACCGTCAACGCTTAAGTGCTATCGAATATTGGCTAAAATATTGAGTAGATTTGCTTAAGTATTTTGCATATGAACTTATTTAAGTATCAGATACTTAAAAGTTTCAGTAATAGACGCATTCTTCGGCTTTTATTTTAACTTTTTGGGAAGTATGTACATATAATTCTATCATCTGTTTCTCTTTTAACTCTTCCACTTTTTCTTTTCCAAAGCCTTAATGTTCCATGACATAATTCAATTACCGATATTAGCTTCGCTTTTCCATGTACTAGTAAATATTTTGCTACGCTACTTCAATCGTTTGTCAATATAATCTGCAAATTCGTGACACAAATGGCAAATTGAAATGTTTAATTGTATTCCAGCTTAAATCAAATCCGAGCCTTGTGATATGATTGCCCATTCATCAGTGGTGTATACAAAAACTATTTAAGAGCTATAAAAAGTCTAATAAAACATAGGTGGTGTTAATAATATGAACTGTGGGCTATTGTGCGTGTATACGTGTGAAAAATTGCCCTTTTTATTTACGAATTTACGAAGGTACATACACCCCGTAAGCCAAACTAGCGGCGTACATACATATGTATTTAGGTTGTGGGAATCTAAAATTCGACTCATTCGAATGCTTCTAGGGCATGCTTTGAAATACTACATAGTTTTTAAAATGCACTTCAAGTATAGATCGAGATAATAATTGCTCACCACAAACTGATTTATTCGCAAACGCGATGATGAAAATGTTCTCTTCCAACCAACCAAAAAACGATTAAGGCTTAGCTGCAATTTTACAACCTGCAGGTTACAACTCTCTTCGAAAAATAAGACCTTACTGCGAATTGGAAGGTAAAGCCTTTTCCTTTGACAACTCATTTTTTTTTTAAATTGAATGAACTGCGCAAATCCAATGTCATTAACAAAAATTGCCCTCGCGTACATAATTTTTAAATAGTTGGCAACCCCACTCAAATAAAAAATAAAAACTTATTGCAAATGCGGAGACCATATCCTTTCACTTGGTACCTCAGTTTTTAGCCCAACAAACGGTGCAGATTTTATAATTTTTAAAAAGTGGCAACCCTACTCAAAAAGTAATACATTATTGAACATTTAAAAGCCGAGCCATTTTGTTTAATACCTCCTTTCTTGTAATCTAACGAACATTGCGGATCTAATAATTTTTTAGACAGATGGCAACTCTATAGGAGTTTAAAGTACTAAGGATAATATTTCTATCGATACCGATTATACTTAAAAAATCTCGTACAAATCCGTTCATTGGTTTTTGAGATTAGCTTAGTCAAAATATCTCGACTTTCGTTTATACTATGTATAGAAGATAATAATTTTTAAACAGGCGGCAACCCTACTTAGAAAAGTAATACATTATTTCACATGTAGAGGCTAAGTCTTTTCGTTTTACGGTGACGGTGCAGAACTGATGCCTACGCTTATACGCTTATTATGATTACATATTTTAACTTTAGTAACAGGTGGCAACCCTATTGAAAAAAAAACATGAATGCCTTTCTAGAGGCCAATCCCTATTACTTGACATCTCATCTTTTGTTCTCCAACGAACGGTGCGGATCTTATAGTTTTTTAGACAGGTGTCAACCCTATTAAAATTCTAAGTAAAAAAAAAGTCACTCTCCTGTCGATACAGAGTATATTAGAGAAAATCTCGTCAAAATCCGTTCAGTAGTTTTCGAGATTACCGCGTCCAAAGAATCTCGACTTTCTTTTAAACTAACGGGTGATTTTTTAAGAGCTTGATAACTTTTTTTTTAAAAAAAACGCATAAAATTTGCAAAATCTCATCGGTTCTTTATTTGAAACGTTAGATTGGTCCATGACATTTACTTTTTGAAGATAATTTCATTTAAATGTTGACCGCGGCTGCGTCTTAGGTGGTCCATTCGGAAAGTCCAATTTTGGGCAACTTTTTCGAGCATTTCGGCCGGAATAGCCCGAATTTCTTCGGAAATGTTGTCTTCCAAAGCTGGAATAGTTGCTGGCTTATTTCCGTAGACTTTAGACTTGACGTAGCCCCACAAAAAATAGTCTAAAGGCGTCAAATCGCATGATCTTGGTGGCCAACTTACCGGTCCATTTCTTGAGATGAATTGTTCTCCGAAGTTTTCCCTCAAAATGGCCATAGAATCGCGAGCTGTGTGGCATGTAGCGCCATCTTGTTGAAACCACATGTCAACCAAGTTCAGTTCTTCCATTTTTGGCAACAAAAAGTTTGTTAGCATCGAACGATAGCGATCGCCATTCACCGTAACGTTGCGTCCAACAGCATCTTTGAAAAAATACGGTCCAATGATTCCACCAGCGTACAAACCACACCAAACAGTGCATTTTTCGGGATGCATGGGCAGTTCTTGAACGGCTTCTGGTTGCTCTTCACTCCAAATGCGGCAATTTTGCTTATTTACGAAGCCATTCAACCAGAAATGAGCCTCATCGCTGAACAAAATTTGTCGATAAAAAAGCGGATTTTCTGCCAACTTTTCTAGGGCCCATTCACTGAAAATTCGACGTTGTGGCAGATCGTTCGGCTTCAGTTCTTGCACGAGCTGTATTTTATACGGTTTTACACCAAGATCTTTGCGTAAAATCTTCCATGTGGTCGAATAACACAAACCCAATTGCTGCGAACGGCGACGAATCGACATTTCACGGTCTTCAGCAACACTCTCAGAAACAGACGCAATATTCTCTTCTGTACGCACTGTACGCATTCGTGTGGTTGGTTTAATGTCCAATAAAGTAAACTGAGTGCGAAACTTGGTCACAATCGCATTAATTGTTTGCTCACTTGGTCGATTATGTAGACCATAAATCGGACGTAAAGCGCGAAACACATTTCGAACCGAACACTGATTTTGGTAATAAAATTCAATGATTTGCAAGCGTTGCTCGTTAGTAAGTCTATTCATGATGAAATTTCAAAGCATACTGAGCATCTTTCTCTTTGACACCATGTCTGAAATCCCACGTGATCTGTCAAATACTAATGCATGAAAATCCTAACCTCAAAAAAATCACCCGTTATGTATAGAGACATATTCATCGCCGCATGCATCAACAAATTTAATATTGACTTCGGTACTTAAGAGATTATCATAGATTTGCTAGGCAGCAATATTGTTATCGATATATTTATTTTAACTAAATGTTTCATAATTTAAATGCTGGCATAGCCATGGTTATACGTTAGTTTATGCCTCCTTCAATTTTCCCATCGCCAAAACGAGTTTTCTCTTTCCTTAACATAATTATCAATATATTTATCAACTTTACTATTAATAAATTTGTCGGAATTACGCTAGATATATTTTTCGACATTTCTGTCTATATGTTTAACGACTTTGTTATCGATATATTTATTGTTATCACTAAAGATATATTTTTCGACACTACAATTGGCATACTTACTCATTAAAAAATATTTGGCGCTTAAAATTTGTACTAAGTTTCTGGCCGAGCTTCTCCAATTTGTCATGTGTGACTTAATGGAGGATGGTTCCGTGCGCAGAAGTGGAAAACTTTTGACTGCCATTCACCTGGGAGTGGCCAGAAGCGATTCTTGTGCGTACGGTTCAAATCGCAGCTCACAACGTCCGGATATTTATATCCACGTATCCTCTGGGTAGCAACCAAACACCCGTTTGGGAGCGAGCTAAAGTGAGAAGGCGTAAAACTTCGCGTGCGCTGGGTTTGGGTCCCGCCACGTTAAAACCCCGCCCAATGAAAAATTCCAACAAGCCTCGGATGAGACCCCCTTTTTCTGATGACGACCACGGCAAACGTATAAAGGACTATGATTTAAGGGTATGCACCTGGAATATCCGGACCCTTAATGGGGAAGGTGCCTCTGCCCGGCTGGTTGATGTCCTCGGGAAGACAAAGGCTGACATCACCGCCATCCAAGAAATGCGATGGACGGGGCAAGGTAAAGTAAGCGTGAAGCCTTGCGACGTCTACTACAGTTGCCACGTAAAGGAGCGCAAATTCGGTGTTGGATTCGTGGTAGGAGAGAGACTCCGTCGCCGAGTACTGGCGTTCACCCCGGTGGACGAACGTCTAGCCACAATCCGCATCAAAGCTAGATTCTTCAACATCTCGCTCATCTGCGCCCATGCCCCGACGGAAGAGAAGGATGAGGCGTCCAAGGATCTCTTCTATGAGCGCTTGGAACGTACATATGAGCGCTGCCCCCGACACGATGTCAAAATCGTGCTTGGCGATTTTAATGCCAAGGTGGGCAAGGAAGGGATCTTTGGCGCCACTGTCGGAAAATTCAGCCTCCACGACGAAACGTCCGATAACGGACTGAGGCTGATCGACTTCGCCGGGGCCCGAAATATGGTAATATGTAGTACTAGGTTCCAGCATAAGAACATCCACCAAGCTACATGGCTGTCTCCAGATCGAAAAACGAGAAACCAAATCGATCATGTTGTGATAGACGGAAGGCATGCTTCAAGCGTTTTGGACGCACGTACACTCCGA